GAGTTACAGATGGTTGTAAGCCACTATGTACGTACAGAAAAGCTAACTTGGATCCTATGCAAGACTAGCAAATGCACTTAACTGTGAACCATTTCTCCAGCCTCAAGTGTCTTTCTTTTTTTAATGAACAGCTAATACGGTCCTATATCTGTGGCCCAAATTATATACTCTTGGCTTTCCCTGGCTTCGCGAATGCTTTCTTTGATTGACAGCAACACTGTTCTCTGTTGATGTAATGCCCAACTCGCCTGCTCTCTAATAAGCCTTCCAAGTCTTCCTTTACAACACACACACACACACACACACACACACACACACACACACACAGGTAAAAATAAATTGCATTCTAGGAAGCTTACGAAATTCAAGTGGCTGAATCAGAGGCTTCAGAGCTGTAGGACCTTTAGTCTGTGTTTAAAAAAGTACAAATATGTTCCGGGTGTTTTTTATACATGGACTGTTAGATTGATGGAACTTTAGAATAAATTCACTCACTCTACGGCACAATTTCTCTCTAAGGTATTGTTAGTTCCCTCCCTCCCTTCCTCCCTCCCTTCCCTTCTCTCCTGTTTCACTCACTTTCTTCCTTCTTTCCTCCCTTCTTCACTCTTCCTTCTTTTCTCCATTCTTCATTCCCTCCCCTCCCTCCCTCCCCCTCCCTCCCTTCCCCTCCCTTCCCCTCCCTCCCTCCTTCCCTCCCTTCCTCCATTTCTTCTTTCTTTTTCTTTGTTTCTTTAGTAGGATTTCACTCTCCAGCCCAGAATGTTGTGGAGCACAGCATGCACCTGTGTTGGCCTCCAACTCACAGTGATCCCCCTGACTCACTCCCCCACTGGTTTTGAGATCTGCCTGCCTCTGGCTCCTGAGTGCTGGGATTAATGATATGTGCTACCACACCTGGCTGGCTACTAAGGATGCTTGAAAAAGCCACAAAATATCATATTTTTAATTTACCCAAAATTACACATAATACAAATGTGTGTATACATACAAATAAATAGTTTAAATGGGGTTAAGCCACTTGGGCTGATAATGCTCCCCTGAAGAGCCATAATCTATCTGGTAAAGAACCCCAGTAGCATATATGAGAAATCACCTTTCCAGTTGTTGATTAGGGTAGCCCAAGAGACTCCTGAAACAATACAGGTTATTCCCATTGCTCTTGGTTGCCAGAGTTTGGAGCTAAATCTCTCTATTGCTGCAGATACCATGTACTTTACACAGGACTCAGAGCTGGATCTGCCCTGAAAGTCTCCTGCCTGAGGACTAACTTTCATAGAAGTGGAAGGTGCTTTACCAAGTACTATAGAAAGACTAAACCAATAGTCCTATGAGCTACAGTAACCACCAGCATAGAGGATATCCATAAAGGTGCATTTGTCACTCTATATCTTGGTGGTAATTAAAATCTTTCTAATTGCACTTAAAGCCCGCTTGGGGGCAGGGGGCAGGGAGCAACATGCCCGGTACTGGAAACCTAGTCAGCTATCAGGCTAGTGAGGTTATGGATCCTAGAGGAGAACCTACTACTACTGCTACTTTATTAAACCAGCATATTTCCTAATCACATCCCAAATTCCTTATAAGTAACTCCCAACCTCACCAGAGAACGTCTCTTTGCAACAGACAGTGCCCATTACAGAACACATGTGGTCAAAATACAGAGAACAACAGACATGGTGACCAGCACCAGTGGCTACATCTTCAACACAACTCCTGCACCTAGGGATCAGGGAACATTCTTGAAGAGGGGATCAGAATGATTTCAAAAGCCAGAGATCAGGAAGGCTGCTGTGAGTTTGTGTCCCCTAGAAACCTCGTGGAAGCTACATCTATGATAATGCAAGTGTATGGTTGCCTAAGCAAGGCCTGCATGGCGAAAACACCAATAGACAAGAGAGGGAAACTCATGGTGCCCCAGCCATAGAAAAAGAACAACAGGCAACTAAGGGATGCTGAGAGAGAGGGAGAAGGAGTCTCCCCCATGGGACCCCTCATGTTGGTTATCCAATACCAAGTGGCCAGACTTGAAATCATGTACATGCAGCACTGAACAGTGTTGTATCTGTATATTTTATTTGTACACACACACACACACACACACACACACACACACACACACACGGAGAGGAGGTGGCCAGGAGCCTGGGAAGGTGTTGGAGGCATGCCCAGATTGAGATTGAGTGGGAGGAAGGAGAGGGATTGATGGTAAATGATTTTATTAAAAAGAAATCAGGTGTGGTGGTACATATTATTAATCCCAGAGCTTGGAGGGCAGAGGCAGGTTGGTCTCTTTGAGTTCAGGGACAACCTCGTCCACATAGAGTTTCAGCTAGGGCTACACAAAAGCAAAAACAAAAATAACTGGTTGTGGTAGGATATGATTAAGAGGTGGAGGCAGAATTGGCATAAAAACAGACACATGAATCAATAGAATCGAACTGAAGACCCAGATGTAAACCCACACACTACGGACACCTAACTTTTGACAAAGAAGCCAAAGTTATGTAGTGGAAAAAAGGAGACATCTTCAAGAAATAATGCTGGTTTAACTGGATGTTGGCATGTAGAAGAATGCAAATAGATCCATATTCATCATCCTGCAGAAAACTCAATTCCAAGTTGATCAAAGACCTCAACATAAATCCAGATACACTGAGCCTGATAAAAGAGAAAAGTGGGAAATAATCTCAAATGAATTGACATAGGAGGCAACTTCCTGAACAGAATGCCAATAGCACAAGCAGTAAGACCTACAATTAATAAATGAGACCTCAGGAAATTGAAGTTTCTGTAAGACAAAGGACATTGTCAATAAGACAAATGGCAGCCTACAGAATGGGAAAAGATCTTCACCAACCCCACAGCCAACAGAGGGCTGACTTCAAAAATATATAAAGAACTCAAGACATTAGATATCAATAAAAAATAATCCAATTAAGAAATGAGGTGCAGACATAAACAGAGAATCTCAATAGATGAATCTCAAATGGCCGAGAAATATTTAATGAGATGTTTAACATCCTTAGCCATCAGGGAACTGCAAATCAAAATGACCCAGATATCCCATTTTACACCTGTCAGAATGACTAAGATCAAAAACCACAAGCATCAGCTCATGATGAAAGAGGATGTGGAGCAAGGGGAATACTCCTCCATGGTTGGTGAAAGTGCAAACGTGTACAGCCACTTTAGAAGTGAGTGTGGCAGTTACTCTGAAAACTGGGAATCAACCTACCACAAGACCCAGTTATACCACTCTTGGGTTGTATAACTCAAGGATGCTCAATCACACCACAAGGACACTTACTCAACTATGTTCATAGCAGCTTTATTTGTAATAGCCAGAACCTGGAAACAACCTAGATGTCTCTCTGGAGGAATGGATAAAGAAAATATGGTTTGTTTACACAATGGAGTATTATAAGGACACAAGAAATTTGAAAGCAAATGGTTGGAACTAGAAAAATATCCTGAGTGAGGTAACCTAGACCCAGAAAGACAAATATGGTATATACTCACTCATAAGTGGATATTAGCTGTAAAATGCTGTAAAATAAAGGATATCTATGCTACAGTCCACAAACCCAGAGAGACTAGGCAAGAAGGAGAGTTCATGGAAAGCATGGATCTTCCTGGGAAGGGGAAAACAAGAGATTGTGAATGGACGGAGGGCGGGTGGGGATAGGAACATAAGTGATCAGGTTGGGGACAGATGGAGCAGAAGATTGCCGAGGGGGGGGGGCTGCTGTGAGTGGCATTATGTGGCTATGACAAGCCTGATGCAGGGGAATCTCCCTGGAGTCTATGGGGAGGACCCCACCTTAGACTCCTAGCAATAGTGGATAAGGAGCCTGAACTGGCCATCTTCTGTGACCAGATTGGTGCATGGTCCAGTTGTCATCAGAGAGGTACCACAACCAAACATTAGACAGAGTTTGGGAATCCTGCTTAGGAGGAGGAGAAAGGAGTGTAGAAGTCAGAGGAGTCAAGGACACCAAGGCAAGCCACACACAGTCAACTAACCTGGGTTCATAGGGGCTTGCAAAGACTGAACAGACTCATGGGACTGACCTAGGCACTCTGCATTACAGTAGTGTAGCTTGGTCATCTTACTGCACCAACAGCAGGAATAGGGGCTGTCTCCCATTCTTTTACTGGTTTCTGGGACTTTACTTCTCATACAGGGTCACCTTGCCCAGTCTTAATACATGGTGGAGGCGCTCTGTTGTGGTGCAATTTGATATGCCATGCTTTATCGATACTCATAGGAGATCTGTCCTTTCATGGATGGAGATGAAGAGGAGCAACACGGCAGAGGTACTGGAGGGGAAGATTGGGGGGGAGGGGATTGGAGAGGCTGTGGCTGGAATGTAAGTAAATAGAAGAAAAAAAAAAAACCATACGGAGTCAGAAAAGGTCATCCCTAAAAACACACATACATGTTACATTATACAGATGGAACAGCTTATATTTAGGAATATATATATTTATATGTATATGTACCAGCATATGCATTCGATAGCAGTGAAAAGAGAGGCCGAGAATTTGAAGGAGAAAGGAAGGCTTTGGAGGGAGGAAGGGGAAGGGAGAAAACTTATACTTATATTATAATCTTAAAAAAAAAAGGTGGAGATAGGAGGGTCATGACTTCAAGGACAGCCTGGGTTTCAATTGGAGTTCCGTTCCCTGCACCCACAAGGCGCCTCACAACTAACTGTAGCTCTAGTCCTGGGTGATGTGACAGTTTCTTCTGGCTTCCTGGGGCACCAGGCATACATGTAGTGCATAGACATAAACGCATGTGAAATACCCATACATATTTAAAAAAATGTGCAGAGTTAATACCACTGCCTGATCTGGTGTCACCGTATACAGGTGCCCTAAAGAGCCATGGGTCTATATCAAGGTCGCAGCAATTAGCGCAGGCTCAGCCTGAGTCAGCGAACTACAAATCCCAGCGGGCTGTGCGCGACGCTCGCGGCCGGGCTGACGCCTGGTGGTGGGGGGCGTGGCATCCGAGGGCGGGGTCGCGCTGCGGGGTGCTGGCCCAGCGGCCGCGGATCCTGGGCTGAGGGAGTGAGGGGTCCTCGCTGAGTGAAGGCCTCGCGGCCGTGCCCTGTGATGGAGCGGGCGAAGATGGCGGAGGAGAGCCTGGAGACGGCGGCGGAGCACGAGCGGATCCTGAGGGAGATCGAGAGCACAGACACGGCCTGCATCGGGCCCACGCTCAGGTACCGGGGCGGGGCGGGGTCGGGTGCGGCGGCTGGCCGAGGGGAGAGCCGCGGGTGTCCCGGGTCTTGGGCGAGGCCCTGCTGGGGAGCCCGTCCGGGGAGAGAGGCTGCGGCGCGGCTCTGCTGGGCCGCCGCTCCTTTCGGTCAGGAGCGGGCGCCGGCTCTGCCCATCACGGCTCCTCCGAGAGCGTCCTGGTTACCTTGGTCCTGGAGGAGCGGTTCTCCCTCCTTCCCTCACCCGAGAGCCCGGTTCCTGAGGACGACCCCGCCCGAGTGCAGCCTCGGGACCTTGCCACTACCCGAACCCGTAGCTTCTACTTGCGTTGCCCGTGAAGGTGTCAGAACGCACCTGGCCTTCCTGGTCTTAACTACCTTGTACTTGTTACACAGGGTGCAAGGCGTTGATGTGCAGATAACATCAATGGAAGCCGATGAGCAACCCTACCGTTGGGGTACGCTTAATGCTCCCCTGTATCAGACGAGGCACGGGGCAGTGAAGTGCCTTATCCAAGGTCACAGGGGAAAGACAGTGGGTTTCTAGTTCCGAGCCCAGGCGCTCTGCACCTGGACGCGCTGCCTTTCCTCCTTTTTGTGGCGCCCGGGGACAGAACGCACTGTCTGCAGTGTGCCAGGCTAGCCCTCTTCCTCCGAACTGTGCCCAGCCCACAGATTCTTCACTACTTTTGTTCTGCCTTAGTCTGGGATTACCATCTGCTATACTTCCTGTTGGAGATTATTCACCAGCACCAGGTTTGAACCCCCGCAGTTTTCCCGGTGCCCTAGAACTATTCCTCCTGGTCCTTTCCCGTGGAGCTTTCTGGCCTCCCCATTCAGTCTGTGCGTTGGAAATCACTTCACCCCCTCCTTGTACAATACTGGATCAGTGCTCCTGCCTGCATTGCTTGCATTTTCACGGGGAGAGTTGTCCCGGGAAACGAGTGACTGAAGAAGGCCAGGGACTTCTGCTTTTAGCTCCACTTGTACAGTTTTCTTCTCCAGCCTCCATTGTTAGTGCCAAGCAAGTTTTCTGTGTCACTCCTCTTGGAAATAACTGTCCTTAATAGTTTGTACTGCACCCCCCGTGTGTGTGTGTGTGTGTGTGTGTGTGTGCGTGTGTGCGTGTGTGCGTGTGTGTGCGCGCGTGCGTGTGTGTGTGTGTGTGTGTGTGTGTGTGTGTGTGAGCGTGCGCTAAGATTTGAATCAGGGTCTCTCGAAGACAGCAACAATTCTTTACGACAGAGTTGACCCTTCAGTAACTCCCAGGGGACTTTTACCTCCCCCCCTCTTTTTTTTGGTGCCAGTTCTTTTGCACAATTACTTTCCTCTCCTTGTGTCACGATCATGACCAGCATTCTCCTCTAATTTCCTATTTTCTTGTGCTGTGAAAGGCCAGTGATTTTTCATTTCAAAGCCCATCATGAAAGCCCACGATCACGCGCTCGCTCGTATCCTCCTAAATGTGTCATTAGCAGCTGTTACTGTTTGGCTTTCTGCAACTAAAATGTTAATAGAACGAAGGAAAATGTCATGTTCTAGTCTGTTAGGAAATTTGGCTGCTGAATTGAGTATTTGGGATCACTAGAGTCCAGGAAGGGTTCCTTATCCGTATTTATTGTCTTGAGTTGCTTGTGGTTTAGTATGCTAACCCTTTTATTTTTTTGGAGGAGAGATGCAGTTTCCTGATGCCAGGCCGTCCTCATACTTGCTGTGTAGCTGAGAACACCCTTGAACTTCTCACTCATTACTGTCACTGAATTCTTTTTTTTTTTTTCTTCCTGGTTCTGTGGTTGTGCATGAATTTGGAAGTCTTTTTCTTTTATTTTATGGAGACACTGTTAATGACAAGAAAAAGAAGTAAAAGTCCAGAAAGTATCACATGACCCTATCTGTTGGTTGTTTTTCCTGACTGTATTGTTGAGGATTTGAATTAAATTTTTAAAACATTATTTTATGTTCATTGGTGTTTTGCCTGAATGTATGTCTGTGTGAGGGTATCAGAAACCTTGGAACTGGAGTTACAGACAGTGTGGGTACTGGGAATTGAACCTGAGTCCTCTGGAAGAGCAGCCAGTACTCTTGACCACTGAGCCACCTCTCCAGCCCAGGTTAACGTTTATTTATTTATTTATTTTTATTTCTTTAACATTCATGTATGTCTTTCTTTCTGCACTATGCATGTGTTTGTGTATGAACGCACATTTAGACACCATAGCACATTTTGTAGGTCAGAGGACAACTTGCAGAATAGGTTCTCTTCTTTTACTATGTGAGTTCAGAAGATTGATCTGAGGTGTTTAAGCTTGGCAACAAGCGCCTTTAACTGCTGAACCAGAGACCTGCTTGCTGTCTCTGGCCCAAGGATTTGGATTATTTATTTATTCTTTTTTGGGGATCATGTAGATCATGCTGGCCTTGAACTCACAGAGATCTGCCTGCTTCTAACTCTCCAGATGGGTTTAAGGCATGCATCAGCCATGCATGGCTGAGAGTTTCTTTTGAGGCTGTTGGCATAGAAGCACAGCCACACGTCAACCCTTGGCTGAAGAGAGTCATTTGTTCATGGAGGTCATTCTCTTCGGTGTATCACACTTATGGGTGAAGAAGGGAGGGAGAAACTGCTTAGCTGGCCATATCAGTCTTGGTGATCACCGGGGTTATGATGTCACAGCCAAATTATCCTCACATCTCAAGCACTAACATTCTGGTTCCAAATCAGGTATGAATAATAGTTCTGTTTTCATTTTTGTCAAATCCCATGTCTGTATTTCTATTCTTATTTATCTCATTATTTAACCAATAGTAGTCATTTCTGTATTTTGCTTAGTGGATCATAGCAATGGGCATTCACTCTAATTGTACTTAGCATTTTGTTTTTAAGTTTTTAACTTGAATAATGAAATACATTGCCATTTAAAAAGTAGCGTTATAGCTGGGTGTGGTGGCTCATGACTGTAATCCCAGCACTTGGGTGGTGGAGGCAGCAAGTTAAGGAGTTCAGGGTCATTCTTGGTTACACATCAAGCTCAAGGCAAGCCTGGGGTGTATGAAACCCTGTCTTTAAAAAGTAGCTTTATTGAGATACAATCTATATAATAACACGTGATCTACATATTGTTTAAAATGTATAACTGATTGACTTGCAGTATATCCATAGAGTTTTGCAGTAATCACCATAGTCTAATTTATGATTACTTTATCCCCTCCCAAACAAACACACATTCTTTGAGAGACACTTTTCATTTCCTCTTGTCCATGCCAGTCTCACTTTCAAGGCTGTCCTTGAACTATGTGCAGCCTAAGATAACTTTGAATTCCAGATCTTTTTGCCTCCACCTCCTAAATGCTGGGATTACAGTTGTATACCACCACACCCAGCTTCCTACTTGCTACTTTAGACATCTGGGCATTTTGTGTAAATAGATTTATACAAGGATTATTATTATTATTATTATTATTATTATTATTATTATTATTTGCTACTTATGGTAATGTTCTCATATGGGCGTGCATCTGAACTCATTTCTTTTTTATTGCTGAATAATACTCCATTGTGTATGGATGTACTTGTGCCACATTTTATTTGTTCATCAAGTTGGTGCATATTTTGATCATTTCCGTTTTTGAGGTTGTTATGAACAATGTCCTGTGTCTTTTTTTTTTTTTTGTGTGTGTACTTATGTTTTCATTTCTGGAGATCAGAGGAAGCAGTTGGGATCATTGTGTAGCCTCCCTAAGGTAACTACAGTGTTCCAAATGTCTAGTGGTATAAGGGTGGTTTGGCTGTCTGGTTGACTGACAGCATTTTTGCTGTATGCAACTAGAGCAAGGGAGAGTGTAGTGAATTAGGAAATAAGATTGCCCCTTTCTCCAAGATTTTCACTTACTTTTCATTTTTATCTTTGAGACAAGGTCTCTGGTAGCTCAGACTGGCCTCAAAATTGCCTTGTAACTGAGGCTGCCCTTGAATTCCTGATATATCCCTTCCTCTAACTCCCTTCAGTAAAAACCAAAAGAATTTATCATTAATATTAATAATAGTTTTTAAAAGGTTGGTAGTGTTTTAAAGTGCAAAGCACTTGGCCAGCCAGAGGAGGGCCTATTGTCAATTTTAGTAGGAAATAAGTATATGAAAGTCTGTTAGTATATTCTGATATAGTCTGTCCTTGGCAATCATTGAAGGAAAAGACATCACTCATGGTTTATGTATTTCAACAATTATAACTTCTTTTGGTGACATTTCATGTTTATTTGTAAGTGCAATATGAAGATTGAAATGATTATTACTGTGTATATGATATATGTGGGGATGCATGCGTGCCATGGAGCTTGTGTGGAGTCAGGGCAGCTTTATATAGCTTTCCTTCCAATTCCAGTCATTGATCTCAGGCCATTAAGCTTTCATCACGTGCTTTTGACCCACCAAGCTATCTTGCCCATCTGCTCTAAAAAATACATTTTAAAAATTACATTTTACCTATTTATTTTGCGTGTGTGCCACAGTGTGTGTGGGCGTGTGAAGATAGGGGACAACTTGTGGGAGTCAGTTATCTCTTTCTTCCATGAAGGTCTTGCTGATTGAACTCTGGTTGTTAGGCTTGGTGGAAAGTGCCTTTAAAACCCACTGAGCTGTCACTGGCCCGGAGAATCAGTGCCTGTGGAAGCAAGAAGAGAATGTTGGATTCCCTGGAGCTGGAGTTACAGACTGTTTCAATAGGTGCTGGGAATTGAACCCCATTCTTCTGGAAGAGCGTTCAGTACCTCTTTCCAGCCATCTTTCCAGCCCCTCCCCAATTTTCCTGACAGGTTTCATAGTTCAGGCTGGCCTTGTGGACTACTGTAAGGCTGAGGATGACCTTACTGCAGATCATACTGCCTTCACCTCTCAAAGGCTGGATGGAGTTAAAGCCCTTAGTCACCCACCATGCCTGGATTATCCTCGGCTTTGAGTTTAAGACCAGAAAATGTTTTTCCCTCCAAATCCTGACCAAGATGCTCTGTAT